GTATACAACACACCATGCAGCACACACTTGTCCACACAAATCTGCTACTAATTCATCCTCACACACCTACTTAAATATTGTGTCACTGAAATGCCTAATGTTATCTGTGGTTCCTTTGTCATTGTACTGTATACTTGTGCGTCTGTTTCTGTGTGCACCTCCGTACACAGTGTCTTAAAGTTGAATCTGCATCAGGAAGGAGCTGAATAACTGAATTTGTGTCTGTCAGTGGTGCAGAATGATGGCACACTCTTCATCCACACCCCCTCTGTGCTCATGCCTTTGTATATGTGTATTTCTATATGTGTGTGTGTGTGTGTGTATCATCTAAACACAGGCTCAGCACTGAGAAACAACCAGAGAGACATGCCCTTTAGCACTTCAGTTTTTAGCTTTGTGTACCTTCTGTGTGCTGACACCATGCATTCAAGGGCCCATGCTCTCATATCTAGTTAAATCAGATGTTTCAGTAATAGAGCATAACAGTGCTTTACAGGATGTTGCTTATGTGTGCACATATGCGCTGTCTCATACATGTTCAAAAACGAGAAGCAGAAGAGGAGAAGTGGCTGTAATATGAATTTGTAACATCACTTGGTATTATGTAACTATATGTCATGGTCTCAGGTAGGAGCATTATCCAGCATTAAAGCAGCCTGCTCCCCCACCTTTTAGATCCCTTTCCTCAATTTTCTATCATCATCCTTCCCCTTCTGTTGTCTGCTCCAGATCACCAGTAGAACAGCCACTTGTGTGGCGCTGGCGCTGCTTCCCAAAGGACACCAGAAAATCCAGCTGCTGTCAGGCTGTGGGGTTTAAACCCTGCTGCTGTTTGCTCTGGTGTAAAGTATTGTTTGTGGTGTATGCTTGTGCATGCATATGTGAGCAGGCATGGATTTTCTCCAGCTCCTGTTGTGACTTCTGCTTCCTTTCCTGTCAGGATAGAAGGGATACAGCCGAGGGACAAGGAGACTGTAAACACATCTGCGTCTACTTTTCACATTTTTTTATCCTTATTCACACTGCTGTTCTTTCTTTTGAAATGTCTGTCCCTTGCTCCCCTGCTTACTTTGCCCTGACCTTGTGACATCCCTGTATATCAGCTTGAAATCTTCTCTTCAGTGAGCTGGGCTCATTCTATCAGCTCACCTCCTCCCTACACTGACTGTCACAGCCATACTCATCCATTGTCTCAGCTCATTTTTCCACTCTGAAGCCATCCGATTGTACGATTTCTACTTTATTTCTCCTGTCTTGTGCTCATTATCCTGTCACTATCATTCCTCTTATTTACGTCTCATCTTGCCTTTGCCTGTGACTTCCATCTTCTCAATCCACTCTGTATTTCCCCTCCAGCATTTTTATTTTTATGTCTAGTCTCTGGTTTTTATTACACTGTGATTTCTCCATCCTGTCCAGGTTACTGAGAGATGTTGTCTTTTAAAGTAATGTGCTGATGCCGTACTGAAGACCTGCTGACAGCGCACCAGCGGTGCAAGGTCAAAATATTTTTACAACTCATTTCATTTGGCTTTATTCATTATCACTGAGCCTCACCTCACCTCTTGACCCTATAAACACTTTAATATCCTCCACACTTTCACCTAACGACCCACCTCATTATCTGACCGCTTCATGTGATCACTGTCTTATGACCTGGTGTGTTTTGTGACTTTAGTAAATTTTTATCATATGAGCTCAGTTTCCTCTACAGTGATTCAGTTCGGTGAAGTCAGGGGGTTTTGAACAAAAGAGAATTCTTCTAAAAAACTGCTTATGTTGCGCAGTCACCCCAGATTCCTCCAGCCAATATGCTGTGTAGCATATATTAATGAAACAGTTCTGGTCCCCATTACAGTCTGACAGCTAGTTAATCAGTGAGAGATGTTCCTGTCATAAACTATGTGCTGATTTTGTGTGAAACCTGCAGACATTGCAGTCCGACTACAGGCTAAGTCATAATTCAAAATTTGCTTGCTGTCTAAATTCTGTGATATCAACATTGAAAGAAATAAATGGCATGCAGCTTTTTTAAAACTCACTTTCAATAGTTCCTTGATTTTATGTTAGCCTGTGACTTCTCATTTGTCATGTAGAGATCAACACAGGGATGTTAGTTGTGGTTTTTGACAATTAGTTACTTACTGTCAAGGGTTACAGCCATAAATCATCGTGTTTTATTTGCCACTGTTCAGAGGAACAAGAACTGAAGCCATCAGATTGGCCATAATTTCCTCCATGTCAAACAATACAACCAGACCACTGCTGCAGCAACACAGGAACAATCTGGTTAGAATGTTAGCATTCAATGCTATCAGTGCTAAAACACCGGAGCTTGTTGTTGGGACACCCTACCAACCAGTTTCTTCACAAATGTTTTCAGTTGCTTGGAAATGGATGTGCTGAAAATTGTTAAAGGCTCGCTCCTGTCACGCATTTCTCCGAAATCACAGAAAACTAAACAAAAGCAACCTGGCGCCTTCCTTGTTAAATAGTCCGTAATCTTCCTTTTACTGGAAAAGTTGTTTAGAAAGCTTTGATTCAACTGAACACCTTTTTAAATATTAACAGCCTTTTGGAGATTTCCAGATTTCACTCTGACAACACTGCAGCACAGAGAGTGCACTGATAAAGGTGTTAAGTAACATTTGTGTCAGTACAGGCTCAGGTAAAACATCATCTCTGCCAGGCTGGACTATTGTAATGGTTTTTTGTCTGGTCTTCCCAAAAAGACAGTTAGACAATTTCAGCTCATTCAGAATGTGGCTGCCAGAGTTTTAACAAGAAGCAGGAGAATTGAGCACAACACTCTCTTCTTAAATCCTTACACTGCCCACCAGAATACAGTTTAAAGTGCCGCTGCTAGTGTATAAACCACTCAATGGTATGCGGTCTAAATACCTTGAAGAAAACAAACCCAGCAGGATGCTTAGGAAGCAGCCAGCTGGAACCAACTTCCTGATGACCTTAAATATGCCCCAAATCTCACCTTTTTTAAGTCTAAAATGAAAACGGAGCTGTTTTCCTGTGCCTTTGTTTGACTGGTTTATAACCTTTACTTTCTGCACTGTAACTGTTAGATTTTTGTTTCAGACCTTTTTTTTATTTGTTAATAATTTAGTCTTTAATCTTGCAGCGTTTTTTTGGTCAAAATGGTAAATGGTCTTATACTTGTATAGCGCTTTTCTATGCTTTTACAGCACACTCAAAGCACTTTCACATTATTTGGCCATTCACCCATTCGCACTCCCAAATTCACACACCGGTGACATCACCGGGAGCAACTGGGGGTTCAGTGTCTTGCTCAAGGACACCTCAACATGTTGACTGGACAAGCCGGGAATCAAACCGCTAATCCTCCGGTTAGGAAACAACCCGCTCTACCTCCTGAGCCACAGCCGCCCACCGCTCCCAAATGGGAGGTAGTTCAGTTTTTGAATTCCTGTTGTCTGTGGCATTCAGGCGACCTCTGTAAATAATTTGTCTGTTAATAATTAATATTTTTCTTAATAGACACTAACCTGGGTAATTCACATAGGCGAACAGCACTAGAAGGTTGACATGAGACGTATGCAAGTAGCCATGAATGTCAGATCCTTGACTTGGAAAATGACAAAAACATTCACAACATCACACAACTGTTGCACACATGCAGGTAGGGGCAAACATGTGCTTACATTCTGAGTCTCTACTTTCTTTTCATAATCTTCAGAAAATCTGCGGAGGTGTCATTGGAATTCTGTGGGCACAGATTCCATTTATCAGCCTTTTAATCTTTTTTGTTTCCTGGCAGGAACAGCCTTAACAGCATCTTTAAGATCTGTCCAAAGATTAATGGCGTAAAACTAAAAATGTTCATTGCCGCCTTCATTATGTCAGTATGCTCTACATGCATGTGAACATAATTTTTCTGGTGTTCCATCATATTTTGTGACCACAATAAGGAATTTCTGCAAACATATTGCTTGTATTGCTTCACTGCTTTGCTTGTTTTGAGCCAATTTTTATATAGTTTTTTATCTTACAGCCCTGGATTGTTTTACCTTGGTGATTAAATGTTTTTTCTTCTATTTATTTATTATATTCCTATATAATTAGCCCATATATTTATTTATTATTTACTGTGTGCAAATAAATAGGTGGGGTGAATAGAGTTCATATTGTCCATTAATAAAACACAAAGAAATGTGAGATTGATAACAATTCAACAATAACTCCACGCACATTTCTTCTTCAACGCCAACTACAAAATGTTTAACCTTAACTTCACAGGCTAGCTGCTGCACACAATTTTCCAGAGGGATAAACAGACCTAAAGTTGTAGTGAATTGAATGAATTGTTTTCATCGCAGTATAACAACCCATATTAAATACAAAAAATGGCCTACTTAGGCAAAATTGTGTCTAAAATTCTGAGCATTTCCAGCACAGTCCTGGAGTGGTTTAGATTTTATTTTTCCTCCGTCTACCATGTAATGTGTTGTCACTGTCCACCAATGGTGAATTATGGAACGTCGCTGCAACTTCATTGTAGCAGGGAACAAACACAGCCGTCAAAGCAGAAATATATACACTATGCCAGTTTTAAACTTGTAAAACAAGAGTTGACAAAAATGAAAACAGCACCAAGTTGATGTATAGTATTCCTTAAAAAAAGACAAATATCCACACAGA